AGAGAGAGAGAGAGAGAGAGAGAGGTCAGACTGACAGACAAACAAACAGACAGAAAGACACAGAAGACACAGACAGGAGATCATGTACACTCTTCAAAAATGAAGTAGAGGAAGAAAAGGTGGGAGATTTACAAGGAATGTGAGCACTCAACGAGCAATAAAGCAAGCCGAAAAGCCGTGGTGCCCTTGTTGATCTACAAGGCTTCGAAGGTCAGTCTGCGGTTTTGAGAACAGCAGCTCTCACTTGGCGCTGATGCATCGCCAGCTGGGACATTGTGCTTAGCAACTTGCAATGTGAAGGTCAGCAGTTTGCACGACATTATTATTATTATCAACCTGCACTTAAACTTTTAAATGCAGGTAGTTGGAGGTCACCGCTGGTAGGTCCTAATTCTTTTCTTTCCCTCTGTTCTTTTTATGGAATTCCCAAAGGGGGGACATTAACATGTTCTTAAGCACAGTAGAATTGTAAATGGGCTGATTAATTAATGTCATGCTCATAACTGTGCCTGAACTCCAACGGGGAGCTGTTTCTTTTTCTTTCCTAATCCTTATAATAGTTATTATTCCTCTACTTCTTTTGTATGTTTGTCACACTCGCGTGGCCCGCTCTTTCAGGAGTGCTTTGATAGTCGAAGCAGACTTTGCACTGTTGAAGTTAAAGAGGTTAGCAGAGTAAGCCTGATTCCCTAATATGGACTTCTCTGTTGACATTCACCCCTTGGCGCTCATATGACCTTAAACAGTTGCAAGCGCCGCAAAAATTTACTTAAACTAAATTGTCTTGCTTCTTCTATGCACTAAATGACCGTTAAGTGTCGATGTACTTCTCTTCACTCAAACTCAAACTTTGAAATAGGGTTATCTTTCCTCTTTTCGTTACCTTAAGATGTTAATTCTCCTAAGAACAGAGGCCTGTGGGATAGAGAGCGAAAGACTTTTCATTTGGCAATATTACGTTTTTCTCTTATTGCTTTGGTTCCGTTCATTGGTTCAAATTTAGGCCCACTCCAGCATTATATATTTTTCTAACATCTGTGGTGTAACGGTTTGGCGCTCACCGTTGCACACAGAAGACCTGAGTTCGATTGCCGTATGAGTAAAGTTCAATTGAGCTTCTCGGTCTTCATGATAATCACTCTCAATCCAGGTTGGTCCTGAGAGGCAGAGCAGAAGCCCTCCTGGCAAATAATCTAATTTGTGTCAATAACGGCTTAATAGCGTAACAACACGTACATTTATTTATTTTATTTCTGCACCATTTGTTGCTCCTTGATGATTGCAGCGGTAAGGCTTATCGTATCCGACCGGTCTCTTTAAGGCGCTCTGTTAGCTCAGTCGGTGTTATGTTGGGCTATATCGTGGAATACCCTTGTACGAGACCATTCTTGAACTTAGTCGTGGGTGTTCTCAATGTTCCCCACCTACACGGTTCAATCTTGTCGGAGATAGATGTTACATTCGGAGGTCCAAGCCTCTTACATAACTTTACAGTGGTTGAAAGGGGCTTTAAACATATGCCATACCATACCGTGCCCTGCCGTGCTTTACAGTACCGTTCCGCCATACCATACCATACCATACCATACCATACCATACCATACCATACCATACCATACCATACCATACCATACCATACCATACCATACCAATTTGGATCTCTGACTGTTGTAGTTTAGAAGATTTTGAACTTAATCTGTCACGCATGGTTTTGAAGTTTGAATTTGAATTAGGTCGAAATAATTTTTCTCGTTCTTCTTGGAATATTTTATTTTTCCCGGTACCCAAATTAGAGATCAATTGCATCAACTTTAAAATCCGTACACTTCAACAACAACAACAAAAACAACAACAACAACAACAACAACAACAACAGCAGCAATAAGAACCACAACAACAACGATTTTATTTGAACGTATTAACAAATTTGTGCTCCAAGTTACTGGTGTGCGTTAACCTGGGGGGGGGGGGGGGGTGGGGTGAGCTTGTCATTGTTCAGAAACTTCTCTTACCTTGTACCAATCATTGTTGCCCATACAAAGTCTGCTTAGGGTGCATTGAAGGTAAATCTTGCTTTAAAGAGAAGGTTTAAAATCGTAGGAAAAAAGTGTTTGAACATACATGTAATAAATCTATGTTCGGTATAGCATGGGTTTGACTCCCCTTTCATCATTGTAAGATTATCCAAGACGTGGGACCTCAGAATTCCATCCATCTTCAAGGCAAACGATTCGAATAGATTGAGAACATCAAGTTCCTTGAAAACGCTCCAAAACAACGCAAGGTCAAGGACGCAACTTAAGAGATTTGTACAATGGTCGTTCGTATCATAGCTCAAGTGTTTTACCAAATTTGAATTAGCTAACTGTGCTTTAGTGATCAAACAAGATATGGGTAACAGTTCGAAACTTCAGTTCAAGAAACCGGTGCGCCACAATTTTCTAAAGTTGAATTTTTATTTTCTGACTAATTTTTTGTTGTTGTTGCTTTCCCGTGGCCTCAGATCCTTCTCCTTAACATATCTTTTCGATATGAGGATCAGACTGTAAGTAACTTATTTACAGTCCAATCCTCAAGTTGAAAAGATTTGCGACGGAGAAAGATCTGCGGAAAAGCACCAAAGAAAAAAAAGAAAGAAAAAAGTAGCACACAAGTTTCTTAAACTGAACCGTCGAGTTGCAATAATTTTTGGAAAAAAAGTAGTCGATCAATTTAATTTTGTACAGTAGTTTGGTAGCAATGCTTAAAAAAGGAAGGTATATTTTTAATGTGTTTTTTTTTACCTCAAAATAAAATACTTGCAGCATGGGGGTGTTGAAATTTTAGCCAACTGAGCTCCTGAATCACAATGTTATTTTTCAATGATCCATCCACTAATTATCTAATTATTAAACTCTTTTGCTCTTACTAATTGAGATATTTTCGGACAACACCTTTAAGGTCGGGTTCGAAGATTCGAGTGTCAGATGGGTTCGACGTTGTGTCCTTGGAAAAGGCTTTTTACCCGATTTCCCGTTTGGCTCGGTCCGTTCGGAGATGGACGTTAAACTCGGAGGTCCCGCCTGTTAAATAACCTAATAATGTTGTCAGGCGCGTTAAACTATACCATTTCAACATTTTCTACCTTACAGGTCAAAGTGAGAGCTAGCTGACGTCATCGGAAACCCCAAGAATCCCGACAGCACATGCCAGTAGTGCCTGTGGTTGACACCGTCTCCGCTGCTACAGCTACCCTTCCCTGTGGTCGTCCAGAACCATTACGTGACCGTGTGTCTGGCTTGCGTCCCCAGCGGGTCACCAGAGACCGGAAGATGGACAATACAGGAGCGACTGCTCCGAGCGAGGATCGCAGGTTATTTTGAGTGAGTACATTGTTAAGCGTTTCGAAACGTTCACCGTTTTTGGTTGTTGTTTTTTTGTTTGTTTTTGTTATGTTTTTTAAATCAAGAGTGTGCAGCTACCTTTCAAGTTGTACTTCTTTATCTTTACAAGAATTCACCATTGTCTTTACCACTGCCAGCGCAGTTCCTTGTTTTTCGAGAGTATGTCCCTGTCTTTGCAAAAGGGAAGTCGAACTAAGTATTGAAAGCATCACAAGTCTTTGGGTTTAAGTTCGTATATACGCATTTGCTACTGTATTACTATAGATCGCCCACCCACACTCTCTCCTCTCTCTCTTTCTCCCGCTCTCTCTCTCTCCCTCTCTCTCTCTCTCTCTCTCTCTCCCCCTCTCTCTCTCTCTC